ACAATCTAGACTTTCTCATTCTTTGTCAAAAGATCCCTTTCCACCTCCCGTGCCATGCAGCTGCTCACAGAGTATCAGTATCTTCTGTCCACTAAAAAGTGGACATTATACCCCTGATACTTACTTAAAACTTTTTCTAAATTTCAGGTTCTCTAACTGAATGAGTATTGAAAATGAAGTACTAAAAATAACTTTGATTTCTGTTATCTAATGCTTATTTGCTTGTTTTCTACTTCGAACACAATATTCAGACTCTCCAATGACTACTACAACCCAGATTACTCAATATGGATTTGCAGTCACGCAGCGACAGTTACAATGACTGGACTACTGTTGTCTGCTTTACGTTAAGTCCTGCTTTGACCTCTTGCCCTAGGTTGGCTCCTCAAAATTCCCTGCAGTAAATGCATTCTAGAGCAATAATGCTGGAAATTTCTGGAGTAGCGGTTTGCTTACAGTTAGAATTCCGATGGTTTGTCATGCTTGCTTAATGAATTGAAATGAGCAGGTTTTGTTTTCAGAAAACATCAGGCAATTTAAAAATAAGCCAACCTAGGCCACAGTAACACTAATTACAAAGTTGGCTACCTTTGCTGTATACCTGCAGGGTGCCAAGCACGATGAGGATAAGCCAAGTAGGAGTGGAGGTGATCCAGCAAGAGAGCATATCTGCAGAGCATGGTGATGGCACACACTGTCCCGACTCCTACCAGACATGTCCAGTGATGGAGTTTTATTTTGAGTGTATTTTAAATGGTTTGTGTGTGTGTGTGTGTGTGTGTGTGTGTGTGTGTGTGTGTAGTGTTGGAGTTTTATTTTGAGTGTATTTTATATGGTTTGTGTGTGTGTGTGTGTGTGTGTGTGTGTGTGTGTGTGTGTGTGTGTTGAAGCTCAAGGATAATTTCATTAGTTGAAGAGAAAGACAACAGGGCAAGCTGTAAATCCCAGCAGCTGCTAGCAGAAGGGGTATAGAGAAGGCAGAAAACCGTGCTTTTTGAACTAAAGATAAGTCTGTGAGCAGTTGCATGGCACAAGAGGTGGACCACGGCCTTTTGATAACGAATAAGAAAGTCTAGAGTGTCAGGACAAACATGCTTAGGATTTCACTGGCATCCAAAGAGACAAAAAGGGGGAAAAAGAAAGTTACACTGAGACAACGCAGAAAAGTGGGAGGGCCTGGCAGTGAGGCTGGGTGGAAAACAGCATCCAGAAAGGAGCTCCTGGGCATCAGAAGTGCTACCTCATTAGGAGGTAATTATTCCACCCACCTCTTTCCTATGTTTCAGATGTGCCTGCTTTCCTGTGGGGTGGTCTCCTGGCCAGGTGATTGACAGGCCCTCTTGATTAACTATTAAAGAGATGGGCAGTAGTGTTTTGTCATCTTTGGCACAGTTTAGAATGTTCTACCTCCACCCAGGGCCAGAGATCGAACTCATATCTCATTCTTTTTTGAAATTTTTAAAATTTTTATCTTATGTGTATGAGTGTTATCCCTGCATGAAGTGCATCTGGGTTGTGCAATGCCCATGAAGGACAGATGAGGGCGTCAGAGCCCCTGGAACTGGAGTTTCAAATGGCTGTTAACTGCCATGTGGGTGCTGATAGGAACCCTGGTCTTCTGCAAAAATAGCCAGTGCCTTTAACTGCTGAGCCATGTCTCCAGCCCCTGGACCTCATTCTTTTTACATGGAAGAATAGCCTGCCCTTAATGGTCACCCACAATACCTTCCCTGTCATGTGAGACTTTCAGATCTTTTCTATTTTTTTTTTCTCTTTTGAGTCAGGGTCTCCCTAGGTAACCATGACTGTCCTGGAACTCTCTATGTAGACCAGGCTGACCTCAGGCTCAAAGAATCTGCTTATCTCTGCTTCCTGAGTAAGGCATACTCATCCTGATATTTCAAATCTTAATGAAGGACTGAATGCCTCTGGTTTCCTTTCAAGTGGTATTTTCCATTGTGGGGAGGGACAATTGTGATGCTTCCATATCTCAAAAATGTATCTGTTGCCAAAGAAATGCAAGGTCCGGAGCTCCTTATGAGAGGCCATCATCAGTGACCACTAAGACTGCCAACCCCTGTCTAATCTAACAGCTAACATAGTCTCTTCTTGCTACAGACTGGGGGTAAGATAGATTAAGGGAGTTGTCTGGAATTTCACAATTAAATTCAAGAAGCGGGTCTAAACATACCTCCCTCCTTCGTCATTAAAACTGGTAGACTGAGGGCAGGGACTGTCTCATTTCTTTGGTGATCCCACAGCTGCTAACACCTTGCACATAGAAAGCCCAGAATGAATCAACACCTACTGAGATTAATAGCAGGTTCCTTTGTTTTGTAATCTGAGTGACAAAGACAGTTTATGAGAGGGAGGGAGGGAGGGAGGGAGAGAGAGAGAGAGACAGAGAGAGAGAGAGAGAGAGAGAGAGAGAGAGAGAGAGAGAGAGATGCCAGAGCCAGAGCCAGGCTGTGTATGAGCAGTGGACTTTTCTGGCTTTTGGTAATGTAGAAGGCTCATCTTCCATTCTGGCAGCCTCCCTGTAATGCTAGAGATATTGTACCATTTTGCAGATCAGGCAGAAGGCTTGATCATGGGAAGAGAAAAGCAGCGTTCTCATTGTGCAGTGAGCTTTATACCTGACCATCCATGAATCTCCTAGGAGCCACTTTTAGCCACCTCAAATCAAATTTTAGAAAGTGTCAGTGCTTGGTGTGATGGCTCTCAGCACTTGGAAGGCAGAGGCAGGTGTATCTGTGTGATGGAGGCCAGCCTCCATAGTAAGTTCCAGACCAGCTGGGACATGGAGACCCTGTTTCAAAAAGACATAATAATAATAATAATAATAATAATAATAATAATGGGGGGAAAGTTCTAAATTTGTGCTCAATGGCTACTGCCTTCTGCTTCATAGGCACTCACCGGAAGCTGCCTCCATTGTCACTACTCAGCTCTATGCATGAAACCTAACATACAGTAACTCTCTGGAACCTTCTTCATACACTTCATATTCTCTAATATAGAAATTAGAAAATGCTTGTTTAGTAGACAGCCAAAAATGAAAACCTTAAAGCAGTATTTGTCACTAAATGCAAGCTCTCGAGTTTAGCCCTGTGAACCCAGGTGAGTCTGTGCACTGTGGACGCTAAGTAGAGAAAGAAGTAGAGAAGGAAGCCCCTCTGTGTGCTGCGTAACCACTAGAAAGAGCGTATCACCGCCATTGCCACTGAGCTGACACGTACACTGCTCACCCACAGCTGACACCCACAGAGTTACTTTTATCCACCTCAGTGAGACATCAACTTGACATGTATTTCAAGCTTTCAAAAGAAGTGTTTGGTCTCATTTTGGTGTGTTTTTCCCCATATGGATTATTGCTACTTAAATAGTATTGGTTCCTTTCAACTAGTTGTCTTTGTTAAATTTGTCACCTGTGGTCTGGGTTTAACAGATGGTCAGAGGGCGTGGTGTGTTCAACCATGCTTGTCAGTCTTGTCCTCAAAGAACTGTCTTTCCTCTGTGTTTTCTCCTTGAGTTACAACATATGGTAGAACTAAAAACTCTAGATTATTCTGTGTACATGGAAAACATACAAAGTAGTTTAGCACTATTCAGACACATTCTTTTTCATCTTACATTGAACCACTTTTGTTTGTTTTCCACCAAAGTAGCGATTCTGTGTGGTTTTACCATTGAAAGAAAGGCAGAAGAACCAAAGCTCATGAATTCAGTTTCAGGCATCCTGAATAAATAAATACTTAGTAAAGTTTCTTCCTCCTTTTCCTTGTCAACAAAATTGTTTAGTAGATGCAACCTCTCCCTCTTAGAAGGTCCAGTATCTACACAGAGGCAGTTTAGTTCTAGAGGGGACACTTACTGCAGGTCAGATTGATGTGTTAGCCACAGAATGCTGCTAATAGTTTATTAAGCAGAAAAGCACATAATTATCTAATAATTCTATTCACTAGATAAAAAAGTTCTGGAATATCTGAGAATAATGACTTACCGCCTTTGTTTAGTTTGAAGATTACTCTGTTCTTTCTTTTTTTCAAGTGAAAGTTCTACCAGCGCTAGTGGCCCTCCTTACCTCCAGTGCTATATATCATTTGATTTCAGTTAAAAATCACCTCCACTTTTCTTTTCATCTGTGACAGAAAGGAACAATATTTTCTCACTAGAAAATACAGTGCTGTTGTCATTTTACATTATGCCTTTTAATGCCCAATGGGCACATTCAGTAAAGTCATGGCTTACTGTAGACATGGAATTATTCTTTATCACATGTTAAACTAATTGGGTTGAACACTTCTTATATGCCTTGTTCCACTCACGTGTAAATGGTAGATTATTCAGCTCAAATTAATGAGTTTTATTCCTTAAACTTTCACTGCTGTTATGACACTCCAAAACCATATTAAAGGACAGATAGAGATTTTTCCCTTAGATGCTACAAACTTCATTTGTTTTGATACAAATACCATTTATCTTGTATTTTTTAAAAACTAATCTTATTCTGTTATACTTTGATAGATTTTTCAAATTATTTCTATTTTTCTTTAAACAAGCATATTTGTAAGTTGTGAAATGCATAATGGTACAGTGTATGCCTTTTAAATCTTGATAGAAGAGGACTGTCTTGTGATGTAGTTTAAGTGTCTAAGTGTACTCTTTCTGATGTGAATCATAGTGTCTATCCAAGACAAAATGTGGTCTTTTCCCCATGTACTCTGAAGTTTCAAGTATCTCTCTTCTTATTTTATTCAACAACAATCTGCAACTTATTTTTCTCCCAGAAAATTGAATCTGCCTAATATTCCTACCAGCTTGAAAAATGTGGTTTCTATTGGCATGAGAGCAGTCATTTTCATATATTGGGATAACAAGAATGCATGCCAGAAAAAGATCAACATAAAATGAAATGCAGAAAAGCTGTAGCATCTCAAAGCGGAGCTAACAGAAGAGCTGATGAGTATCTGCCCTCAATGTGTCGCTTCTGTCTTTAGGTGAAATGTGACCAGTATTGGCCCAGCAGAGGGACAGAAACTCACGGGCTGGTCCAAGTGACGCTACTGGATACCGTGGAGCTGGCCACGTACTGTGTTCGAACGTTTGCACTTTATAAGGTTTGCTCTTTTTCTTCTTTCCCCCGCCTGTTTCTCTTCCATTATTTAAAGAAATGGAATCTCTTGAGCCTTCACATAACTCTTTATCCCACTGGCATCAGTGAGGAATGAGATAATTCTTGCATTATCGCCCAGAATTTTTTCTCTGGTCTAGTGGTTTACTAGTAACTGTGAAACTTGTACTGTTAACAAAGTTTTCAGCAAATGTAAGAACTAGTTCTTTCTGTAAAATAAAACAGGAGCACTCCTGGTGTGCTACCAAAGTCAGGGAGTGCTTTTCACCTGAAAATGTTGTCTTCCTGAAATAGACTGGTCATTTAGGAATAGTTTAGGGCTTGTATCTCTAGGAAGTGTGTCTTCGAAGGTATAGGTAAGGGGAAGAAATTAAGAAAGCTCATGTTAGTGTTCCCACCTAAGATTAGGAAAAAAAGTCTGAGCCAGTGTTCCTGTGTCACAGAATGGTTCAAGTGAGAAGAGAGAAGTGAGACAATTCCAGTTCACCGCCTGGCCAGATCACGGCGTCCCAGAGCACCCCACACCTTTCCTAGCTTTTTTACGGAGAGTCAAAGCCTGTAACCCTCCTGATGCAGGTCCAATGGTTGTGCACTGCAGGTAAGGACCATGGAGCGTATTTGTTTTATTCGTTGCTCGCAGGATTTTTGGGAACCAGAACTTCAAATTACTCAGTTGAATCTTTTCTTTGTACCTGGTTGATACTCTGAGATGGTAAATACCTTTATGAGTCATGCAGGTCTCTCTTGCTAAATGAGACGTCTCCTAACATTAGTGCAAAGGACTTGATAGGGAAGCATAATCCCCTGCAAATAGCACAATCCATCAGTGTTTTCTCTTTTAGGAAAAATATATGGGTAAACACAAAATTAAATGTATATATGGCCATAAAATGGAAGAGAATAAATGTTAACCTTATGATCAGGCTCACAGTTTAGCTTCTTTATGAAAGAATATTCTTAAAAAACTATATGGATTGTTCAACAAGCTCTTATGGGCTGAACTGATAGAACATTTCTACTTTAGGGTAGAAAATGTGGAACAAAATCATGTTGCAATCACACAAGCTCTCAGGGACAATGTCTTATTTTAAAAGATAGATCATTCAATATTCTAACTTTAACTTTTAAGTTTATTTAAAAATATGCATTCACAGACCTATAATTCAGAAGAAGCTGTACTCTGTACATCAAGATAATAAACTGTATTTCTCTTGAAATATGTAACTTATAATTTCACTTAATTCTGACTACCATCCTCTAGATCACCATTCAGATCCTATTATGTGTAAGTATTCATACATTTTTAATATTAAGCTGATTTCTTCCAGATGCCAGAGTTCCTCTCAAGTATCATTAGTCACAGACTACTCAAGGCATGTGATCAAGTTCTGTAGATTCCATACTACATACTCTGTTCTATTTTACCTTTACCGCCTTTGCCTATATATAGCTCACACGACTTCATAATAGTGCTTTTTAATGGAAGAAATTAAGTGTGACTTCTTGAACAAGTGAATCAAATTAGAGTATGAAAGTTTATAATAAAGACAAGAAAAATATGCTATGAACCCACTTATATCATATAATAATAGAATAACTGTTTTATACCATATTATAGCATAACATAATAAACCCTCAAGTCAGGACTCTTTTTTTTAAATTTATTGTTTTATGTGTATGAGTTTATTGCCTGCATGTGTGTAAGTGCACCCATGTCACACAATGCCTGCAGAAGTCAGAGAAGGCATCAGATCCCTGGAACTGGAGTTATGGAGGGTTGTTAGCCGCCATTGGGTGCTGAGAATCAAACCGGGGTCCTCTGTAAGAGCAGTCTATGCTCTTAACCACTGGACCATCTCTCCAGCCCCACAGGACTATTTTTTTAAACAGAGAAAAATAAAACTCCATAAAACTCACCTGGCCCATCCAAACTACAGTGGGAATTAGCAAACAGTGTCCCAGAAAATTCCAAACACAGTAATATCTCTCTGGACACAAACCTTACATTTATGTCCGCACTTTATAATTCCGAAGCATTCCCTCATGCTTTGTGTAATGCTCCTAATAGTGTTGTAGTGTTGGGTCAGGGGATGTGTGAGAAGACTCAGGGTTAGCCCAAGTCCTAACAGCTAGAAGGCAGTGGCACAATTAACCTCATCCCTTTTAATCTGGTTCCAGCCCAGGAATACATGGGGGGGGGGTCCTCTGAGGACTGGATGTCAGCTGTACTTTATGATTAGTAAACAGAAAAATGCTTTTTATTAATTTAACAAGTGGTTTTGCATCATGAAAGCAGATTTCTACATCCTGCCTTGTTAGTTTCAGATCATGTCCTGTGTGCCCAAAAATAAACCATTTCATAGGCTTCAAATAGCCAGTGTAGCTGGTGACATCATGACCCCAGTTGGTATGAGTTGAACGTGATTATAAAGATCACAAAAATGGGGCTGTGTGAGAGCTGACTTAGCAGTTAAGAGCACTGGCTGCTGTTGCATAGGACCTGGGTTCAGTTCCAAATGCCCACATGACTACTGACAGCTGCATCCATAACTCCATTTCCAGGGGATCCAATGCCCTTTTCTGACCTCCACGTGCACTACACAACATGGGTGCACCTACCTACATGGAGGCAATACACTCATACACACAAAATAAAAATAATAAATCAAATACATTTTTTAAAAAATCACACAAGCTGGGATGAAGAAACGGCTCAGTGGTTAAGAGCACTGGCTGTTCTTGCTAGAGGAGCTGGGTTTGATACCCAGCACCCGCATGTTGACTAACAACCATCTGTAACTCCAGTTCGAGAGGATCTGACCTCTGCAGGCATTGCATGACAAAGGTGCACCTATCTACATGTAGGCATTGCATTCACACACACAAATAAAAATACATTAAAAAAATCACACAAGCAAATGGCAAAATTTTTTCAGGAAATACAGGCTCAGCAGAACTGCCTTTCACATGCTTTATGCCGAAAAGAAAGTCCCTCTCTTCTGTCTGTCTTTCTCTAGCTCTCCGTTTCTCTCTCTCTTATACACATAAAGAGAGAGAGAAAAAAAGAGAGAATTATACATGCAAAATAATATGAATAGAAATTAGAGAAAAGTAATTGGAAGTTTCTACTGGAAAACAGCATTTGCATTACATTCGAAATGCAGCATCATTTGGGGGCTGGTAAGATGGCGATGGCTGTTGCCTTCCACTCAAGCCTAGTAACTTAATTTGACCCCTAAAACTCATATAAAGATGGAAAGAGAGAACTGACTCCTCAAAGTTTGTCCTCTGATCTCCATAGGTGCACTGTGCCACATGCACCCACACACCTACACATTGTGTACCTCTCACACAATGCAATGATAAATAAAAATGATAAGAAATATAGCATCTTTCATCTCAAAAAATGTGCTTCCCTTTCTTTAGATTAGAGACATAAGAAAACAACTAGAAGTGGGGAGAGCCATGGGAGGGAATAAATGGGAACAAAGTGTAATGACACATATGTATGAAGGACAGATGTGCAAAGCTAACAGCTGCTGACATTTGAAAGGCTGAGCTGGAGGCGCTGGAGAAGCTGAGTATTGAAACAGAACAACAGAGTAGGTCTATTGATAGAAGTAATGTGGTTGCAACTTTAGAACAGTAAGCAAAAGATGCAGTATGGGGCCTGGAGAGATGGCTCAGCAGTTAAGAATGCTGACTGTTCTTGTAGAAGACCCAGGTTCAAATCCCAGTGCCCACATGGCAGCTAACAACTGTCTGTAACTCCAGTTACAGGGGATCGGACAGCCTCTTCTGTCTTCCACGGGCATTGCATGACACTGGTGCACTTACCTACATGCAGGCAATACATGCATACACATAAAATAAAAAAATAGTAAATAAAATTAAAAGAAAGAAAGAAAGATGCAGTATCTACTGAGCTCTGAGAAACTGTCTCTTTCCTCTCAGGTGACTTACTGTCTGTTAAGAAGCTTGGATTGTTTAGGAGAAGCAGTGTCAAATAGTCAGCATCCAATCACCAAGGATGACTGACCTGTATGCACAAATGTTGACACCTGAAAGTATCAACTGCTGACAGAGCAGCAAATTATCACGATTAAAATAGTAATTATTCACACTCGGGAAGCAGAGGCAGGAGGATCTCTGTGAGTTCAAGGCCAGCCTGGTCTACATAGTGAGTTCCAGGACAGCTGGGGCTACAGGGAGACCCTGTCTCAAAAAGACCAAAAAAAAATAGTAATTATTCAAATTAGTTAGGTTAAACCCCAGAAATGTTGGTTTGAAATGATCCATAAGCAGCAGAAACTACACAGAAAGCCACAGTAGTTAAGTCACCAAATGGTACTGATCACCATGATCATGTAACAAATGATCACAAAAATATTCTGGAACATCAACACTGTATTTCATGCTTTTGTTCATCTTATTATGTGTTCACATTTTTTTCTCTATACAAAAAAAGGTAGTGATAAACTCACAGCAAATCCATCAAACCTACCGAACAGATCCAGTAAGAAAGGAAGACAATTTAAGAGATGTCTAGGAGTAGCCACAAAATTCACTTGCCTGTTCCAAGTAATAAGAGCCATTAAATAAAGGAAATTTTAACAGTCAGTTTACAGAAAGGAATTGCCAGGGGTGAAACAAGCACACACAAGACTCAGAGTGTCAAGTCAAAAGATGAAATAGAGAATGTCTCCTCCAAAGATGAAGAAGGAGCATCTGACTCTAAGCTGAAGGCACCGTAGAGAGAGTCTGCCTGGACAAAGGCTGACTGTTTACTCCCTAGCTTTGTGCTTTAGGGGAAATTATTTCATTTCTGTTAGCCTCTGATTCTTTTTCAAAATATTTTATTTATTATTTTTATTTTTGTGTATGATTGTTATATCTGCATGTATGTAAGGGCACCCGTGCTGTGCAATGCCTGTGGAAGACAAAAGAGGCTGTCAGATCCCTTGGAACTGGAGTTATGGACAGTTGTTAGCTGCCATGTGGGTGCTGTAATTTGAACCCAGGTCCTGGGCAAGAAAAGTCAGTGTTCTTAACCACTGAGCCATCTCTGCAGCCCCACCTCTATTTCTTTAATTATAAAATATGGTATCACTACTCATAGCAGCAAGAATTTTGTAACTAAATGGAGTGATATGAATTGGTACAGAAGTATGCAATATTAAATTCTCAATATATTCATTATGGAGGTTTCAGACTTTTATTGTATGTATATGAGTATTTTGCTTGCATGGATATAATGCTCCACATGTGTGCAATGCACATGGAGGAAAAGGTGTCAGATACCCTGGAACTGGAGTTAATAAGGTTGGTCGTTAGCTGTTAGCTGCCATGTGGATGCAGGGAACCAAACCTGGGTTCTCTGTACAAGCAGCCAGTTATTTTAAACACTAAGCCATCTGTCAGTCCCTTATTATTTAGTTTTAAGATAGATGATAGATAGCTAGACAGACAGACAGACAGATGATAGATAGATAGATAGATAATTATATGTGTATATAATAAGTTATGTATTTGTAAAACTCTAGAGAGAAAACTTTAACCAAATCAGAACTACTGAAATATTAGAATGACAGCAGTCAC